CATCCTAAAGAACCTTCTGAAGGAATCTTCTAAAGGTTTTATCATAGCATCTCTTAGACGTTTGCCCGTCGCTACGTCCCTCCAAGCTTATAGTGAAAGGAAAGCTTCTAATGGAAGCGTCTAAAATAAGCTTTTAAAGGAAGCTTCAAAATAGTTTAAAAAATAAGCTCCTTAAGGAAGCTCATAAAGAAAGCTTCAAAAAGAAGCTTCTAAAGGAAGCTGCTAAGCTTTTAAGGGAAGCTTCTGAAAGAAGCTCCTAAAGGAAGCATCTAAAGGAAGCTTCCAAAAGAGGCTCCTAACGGAAGCTTCTAAAGGAATCCTCTAAAGGTAGCTTCTAAAGAAAGCTTGTAATAGAAGCTTTTAAAAGAAGCTTCTAATATAAGCTTTTTTTTCTTGATTTGTTTTCCGTCGATCTTGTTTTCCGTGCTGAGCACCAATGCTACCGACGCCAGGAAGGCAGCTCCCACACCTGGACCCTACCTATCGACCCATCAACTCATGAACCGGTGACCAACGGCTTTACTTCCCTTCCGAAGGAAGGCGTGATCAGAGATGTTATGCCTCAGAACATCCCGGCGGCGCCGACTGGGATTGAGCCCAGGCCTACTGGGGTGAGAGGTAATCACGCTTACCACTACACCACCAGCGCCTAATATAAGCTTCTAAAAGAAAGTTTATAATGTAAGCTTCTAAAGGAAGCTTCTAATATAAGCTTCTAATGAAACTCCTAAAGAAAGCTTTTAAAGGAAGTGTCTAAAAGAATCGTATAAAAGAAGCTTCTAAAGGAAGCTTCAAAGAGAAGTTTCAAAAGCAAGCTTTTAAAGTAATTTTCAAAAAGAAGCTCCCAAAGGAAGCTTCTAAAAGGAGCTCCTAAGGGAAGCTTCTAAAGGCAGCTTTTAAGGGAAGCTTCTAAAAGAATCTCCTAAAAGAAGCATCTAAAGGAAGCTTTTAAAAGAGGCTTCTAACGGAAGCTTCTAAAGGAATCTTCTTAAGGTAAGTTTCTAACGGAAGCTTCAAAAAAAGGCTTGTAACAAAAGCTTTTAAAGGAAGGATCTAATATAAGCTTCTAAAGGAAGCTACTAATATACGCTTCTAAAGGAATAATATAAGCTTCTAGTGAAACTTCTAAAGGAAGCTTATAAAGGAAACTTCTAAAGAAAGCTTCAAAAAAGAAGTTTCAAAAACAAGCTTTTAAAGGAATTTTCAAAAAGAAGCTTCCAAAGGAAACTCCTGAAGGAAGCTTCTAAAAGAGGCTTCTAAAGAAAGCTTCTAAAGGAATCTTCTAAAGCGAAGCTTCTGATGGAAACTTCTAAAGGAAGCCTCTAAAGGAAGCTTCTAAAGGGAAGCCTCTAAAGGAAGCGTCTAAAAGAAGCTCCTAAAGTAAGCTCCTAAAGGAAGCTTCTAAAAGAGGCTTAGAAAGGAATCACCTAAAGGGAAACTTCCAGAGGAAGCATCTAAAGGAAGCTTCTAACGGAAGCTTCCAAAAAAAGCATATCTAGAAGCATCTGAAAGAACCATCCTAAAGAACCGCAGTTATTGAGTTATTTAGGGAGCAAAAAAGAAGAACAGCAGCTTTTTCTGAAGAATTTAGACGGAATATATGTTTTTTTTTTCAATTACAGTTTCAGAAACTTCAAGGGCAGTTCGGGGATGTTAAAGAAGGAGTATTCCTCCCTCCTTAAAATTTCCAAAAATGCACCTTACAGTTCTCAAAATCTCTGTTCAAAAATGTCCTCAAACATTTGGGGGAATTCCTCCTTTCATAAAATCTTCGAATTGCCGTTGCATCCCAAATTGTATATCAATATGAGCATGAGCATGATTGACAGCCCACGGTTGCTACTCTGTTATTGCCCGATCAGCAGGTCAAGAAAGAAATGGGTAGGAATGTGACACTCACTTTGATGGAAGCCGACCCTAATAAAAATTGTATGGTTGATTTGCTTAACGACGTGTTTGAAGTATTATCCAAACCATTTGTGGAATAGTTCAATGATTTGGGTTATCGTTCGGTTATGGTATTTTTTTTATTAGGGGAGAACACCTCTGCAATTCCACGAGGAATCACTGGGATATTGGGTAAGAGGGTAAGGTTTGCAGCAGGGTTCGTTTTGGTAAACGATAAGCTGAATTGATGTTCTATCGATCATATAACGTGCAGGAGCTTGGAATTGAAACCACGGTCTTCTGCTCAGCAAGCAAAAACGTTTGCCACTAGGCAAACGAGCTTTGTTTTAATTATCGAGTAGCTGTTATGACAATGTAGTCATATTATCAAATACAACGATTCACGAATCTTGAATGTGGATGGGCTTGAGATTAGACTCATGATGTTCTGCTCAGTAAGCAAAAGCGGTCGCTCTAAGGGCACCGAACCCCTCGTATCACATCATACCGTTACTCGAGTTGTTGTGACCATTCAAACCTGGCACCGATGACGACAAGTTTCGCAAAATACACGATAAACAAGCGATTTCACCATACATCTCTTTAATATGAAAGGACCTGGAACCACGTTTTTCTGCTCAGTAAGCAAGCCACTGCAACCGACGATCTTTCAAATTCGAAAACTAAAAGCTACGAAAAAGTACTTGGGCCTTCATTAAGTTCCGATTTCAAACGACGTTCAATTTATCGATTTGCTCTTTACGCATTGTTTAGGTTATCATAACAACCTATGACCAACGTGACGATTGTTTAAGCCCTGATTAAACAATCTATTCAAATGAAATTACGTTTTCGAAAGCAGTCAATAATGTATCCCAAACTGAATCGAGCGTGCGCCCTATGTTCTCCGAAGCATTCCGCCCAAGATCTATCAGTTAAGAACCACCCACATTAGACCCGTTTGCGTTGCGTTGACGCAAATTTGACAGTTAGACAATCGATTTAGCTGTCACCCCGCCGCAACGCGTCAGCTCCGGACCTAATGTGGGTGGCCCATCACGAGTTTCTACAATAGTAGCCTGGGATACATCGCAATGTATTTTCTCCCACAAGACTCAACTGTATTCTTGCATTCGGGTGTATCCCAAATTGCATATCAATATGTTTCAAAAACAGACCACAGGAGATCCCACATAGACCGCGATGGAAGTATAACCAGGCCGACTGCACTCTTTACCAGGAGTCTGTAAAATTCTCATCCGAACGGGATTCAGGATTGCGTTAAGTCCATTCACCTTACGCGGATATGTCGGCCATCCCGCAAACTAATCGCAACCCGGGAGCTAATTCACCCCGGTGGTGGTCTCCTGAAACCAAGGCTTAATGACTCACTCCGGATGACCGTATGAAGGAACAAGCACTGGTCAACTAAAGGGTGAAACGAAATATCGAGTTGGGTATCAACGCCGATCAGAGAAGGCCAGCGACTTATGGAGTAGGATCAACACACTAAGCGGCAGATGCAAGTCTCGCGAAATAGCCATGCGGTTAAATAGCTTGATTATCCGACATCCGGGCAGTGTACTGCCGCTCATTGTAAGTCGGTCCCATTTGCGTTTTTGTCATAACTGAGTTCTATAGTGGAAATGCTAACTAATCACCTATATTTTCGCATGTTGAACATGACAAACATGCCTATCGACGCTCGACGAATACGACAAACGCTTTCGTCACAAGAAGAACGTTTCAACGCGACATCCAGGTTCTCGGAAAATGATTCCCAGATTAAAGTAAGGAATTGGAGCTAGCGCTCTCCGCAAACAACTTGTCCGACCTCCATGCCGGACGACTGAAGGCATAGCCTAGTCGTTCCAATTTAGAAACAGACTGCTTCTGACCGAGAAACTAAAGATTGCTTTGACCTGCTGTATCGGCAAACTAATGGAGAGGATGGTCAATCGTAGAGTCGTATTCTACTTGGAGAACAGTGGTTACATTGACCATTTCCAACACGCATTCCGTTCCGGACACAGCACTGGCATATATTCCAAGTTTAGCTAATGAAGTGGAGTATATATTGGCACATTCTCCAGTTCTGAGGACCTTCCTTCGGTACCGCATGTATAGGAAAGTACCGCTCGCCGCGGTTCCCGGAAGAAACAGATGTGGATACCTCGGAGCCAATCGAAACAGATCTATGTTTTCATGTACGGTAATGACATCGGAGGAAGAACCAAACGGTGGTCCCGAACGCAATCCTACGTTGATGGACCAGCTCTGTAGGGTTCCATCTAACGGTGCGAAAGTGTGCTCCTATGTTCCTCAACTTCGCAACCTGATCAAAACCGGCTTGAGCGTACGGACACCTCACCTTCAAAGATCATTTCAATGAAATAAATAAGAACTGTCAAAGAAGACTCGACACTGCCAAAAAATCGCAGAAACTTGGTATCTCACCAGACATTTTGCAAAGAACTATTTAGAGATTCGTGTTTACAGTGCAGATCTCGGATATCCTGATTATTGAACATTTGCGATTTTATACACTTTGTTAGTTAGCTAGCTAGTTTTCTTTATTAAAAAGACTTTCAGCCTTTCGCTGGTCAGGTATACAGTTTGTAATATTTCCCGAGTTTTAAGTGAAATTTCTAGGAATGCAGTATATCACACAACAACATAAAGTAATGTTACTAACGGTATCCCACGCAACAGAAATCAAGCGATTCCCCCGAAGAACTCTAAAGAAAACTGAAACCATCACTAACCAGTCAACCCTCATTCAGTTCTGGTCACATTATGAATTCAAATTAGGTTTTAACAAATATAATGAATATGATTTATCAACATCCAAAAAAACAAGACGGAATTCCTCCGTCTCGTCTTGAGATCGACCTTTTCCGTAGCAGCAGCCATCAGAACGAACTTATCAACACCAAACATCTCCGAGATTGCCTCTGCAGGTGCAGGGACTGCACTGTCAAGAGACCCCGCAATCTCGTGCACCCACGACATTTATGGCCCAGTTATAAAGCTGCATATACTTCATTCCAGCTAATCAAATTCCAACAACTCGACTCTGACAGATAAAATAAATCTAATCTCGGCTCACTCACCTGCAAGATGTAACGAGAACAGTCGCCTATCGCATCCTGAGACTGCATTGTTGCTGCTGCTGTTGTTGTTCTTGTCGACGTTGAAATAGTTGTCCAGTGGCGTTGACACCACCGGTGGTAGTAACTGCTGCTGCTGTTAATAAATCCGTTTCAGTTGTTTCCAGCCAATCAGCCACGAACCAGGTTCCAGTCATTCTGGCACACTGGTTCCACCGTTTTGGGCCACGTGCAACATCAGAACCACTGGATATGGCCCGCTAAGCCCTTATGTTGCTGCGGTGACACCTTCGGTACGGTTTGGCATTCGGTGTATTTGGGTTTCTTCGCATGCACTTCACTTCCCTTCACCTCTGCTCCGCTGGGACGAAACTATTCTAGCGGGAGATTTATTCTTCGCTCCTTCGCTGAGATTCAGCATTTACAATACATGCACGTACACTGACAAACAGACACTCACTCTCTGCACAGGACAACCTTCAACTATTTGGGTTAGATTGGCATTTTTTGCATATTTCCCGCGATTAAAGCCCAAGATTAAGTGGCTCCCCCTGGCGCGTAACAACAGCTGCTAGAGCCAGATACACTCGCGCGCGCGCACACAAACACACACACATACGTACAAATTTGGCTCTCTTGTTGTTGTTGCGCTGGCAGCAACCAATATTTCAGCATTATTTACACATTCTTTCCATCGACATACTTCGACTTCGAGACTTCTTGTTGATTGCCGCTTTGCTTTTGATTACATTTTTCACTTCTCCTCAACAGACGGTATCCAAATTCTGCTGCTGCCTGCCTGCCTGCCCCAAGCCCCAGACAGATGATGTCTGTGTTTATCCTTTCTTCTTTGCCACTTTCGGCATTCGGTGGTATTCTCACCTACTTACTTTGGGTATTTCGTTTTCGTGACTTGATTGACTCTTCTATTGTGTAAACCGTATTTTTCTAATAATTCTTCTTCTCTTTTTCTTTTGACCATTTATCAACACTTTACAGGGAAATTCAGAAGACAATCGAATGAGGTCACACACTTCAGTCGTTGATGCCGGGATTTAAGGTTTTCTTTTATGCACACTGTTGCTGCGGTTGCACTGTATTCTACATGATCCAGATGGCGATTAATCCCTGAAATGAGATAAAAAATAAATCTGTTAATATTTATTGATTTTAACAAAATTTAGTGATGTTCAATTTCGATTCGATTAATCGAATATCAGCTCCGTTTTATCGAACATCACACATTAAGTAATCGACGTAATCCATTATGATATGATTTACTGACACGGTTCTTCTTCCTCCTTGTGACTATGACACTCGATCATCATAACTAAAGTCCGGTCCACTTAGAATCCGGACACTTGATTTATTCTATAGCAGCGCCGCTAGACAGCGATTAGTTTCGAAAGTACACGTGTTTCAGAGGTGAAAGTTTCGTCTCGATACTTGCATTATTATAACAGTTGTACTACACTCTCCTTTTTTTGTCGAGATTTGCACAGCCAACAGTTCGGCATTATATTTTACTGAGATCTCAGCAAACATGACATTTCCAATATTGAGCAACCAAACGTCACATTTGCTGAGATCTCGGCAAAATATGTTTGCCGGGAGCTAGGCTGTGCAAAACTCGGTAAAAACTGCCGAGATTCAGTAACGGCAGCTGAACTGGTAGGTCGATCATGTCACCAAAAAATATGATGCCAGCCAGAGTACTGTCCGGAGGATCCGTCTGCTAGCAGGTTACCTTCATTCCGTGCCTCCAAGTAACCAAACAGGACGATGAAGCAGAATCTAGTGGCCGACCACTAGAGGCGCTGCTATAGAATAAATAAAGTGTCCGGATTCTAAGTGGACCAGACTTTAATTTGCATCCATTGCACAGTGGTCCAGAAACATAAATTGTTTGTGTATAAATTAATAGTTTTAGGTACATAGTGTCTTGGGGAAAGTTTTTGCATTTATTTTGGTCAATCTTTATATGTACAAGACATTAGGGTGGACCATACAGTTGATGAGATTAAAATATCAACTTTTTAGTCATCGGAGATAGACCAGTGTAATGGAAACAATCTTCTATATCTAATGGTTCACGATTTATACTGATTTTTAATAAGTAACATAGGGTGGTCCCTAAAAAATCGTTTTTCAGGAGTAACTTTCTATACACTCATTTCTCGTAAAATACACTTTTTTATATATATTTTAGGCGCACGTTTTACCACTTCTTCTTCTTCTTTTTCTTCTTCTTCTTCGCATTTCAAGCTTATTGCGTGCTCTCAAACTTAGTGTTCTTGATATACTTCTACAGTTATTAATTGAGAGCATTCGATGCCTGTACCATTTTTGCATTATTATAATTGTGTGGTACAATCATACTCTATGCCCAGGGAAGTCGAGAAATTTTCCAACCCGAAATATTCCTAGACCGGACCGGGAATCTAAAGCAGCCACCTTCAGCATGGTCTTGCTTTGTAGCTGCGCCATAACCGACTGAGCTAAGGGAGGCTTCATTTTGTTGAAAAGTTTTAAACGATTTTCACTGAATAATACAAAATTTTCAAATGTATCAAACGGCTTCAGGATCACTGTCCAACGTTTCAATGTGTTTGGACGGAATTAACATCAAGAAGTGTTAGATTTTTAACAACATCTCAACAATTGGTGATCAATCGAACGGTTCGTTATACTATGACGAAAAGCAGACTTCACCTAGAACTGCTATTCTGGTTAATAAAACATTGAAATGCTACCCTATTACAGAATTCATCAAACGGGCCATCGTCGCAGTCATGGTTGAGGTACCAACCACCAAGGGAAAAACCGAGATTGTAGTTGCTTCGGCTTATTTTCCTGGTGATGCTCCTGAGGTACCTCCTCCTGAGATCGCCTCATTAGTCCAATATTGCAGAGAATACAACAAGTCGTTCATCATTGGCTGAGATGCAAATGCGCATCATACCGTGTGAGGTAGTACGGACATCAACAGTCGAGGTGAGTGCCTTTTGGAATTTCTCTCATCTTATAATATAGACATATGCAACAAAGGAAATGAACCTACTTGTTCAAATGCCATTAGACAGGAAGTTTTAGACTTGACATTTTGCAACACTGCAATTTCTGAGAAGATTCGAAATTGCCGTGTGTCAGATGAAATCTCACTTTCTGATCATAAACACATTATGTTTGAATGGAGTGGAGGTGATTTACCACCTTCTGCTTTTAGAGATCCTAAGAAAAACAAACTGGGATCAATATGCACAGTGCTTAGATTCAGATATAATTACCAACGGTGTAAAGATTGATTCTATCCAACAATTGGAATCATTTTCTGAAAAGGTAAACGAAAGAATTATAAATTCCTACAACAGTAGCTGTCCTATCAAACGGTAGTCTTCTAACAGGGATGTGCCGTGGTGGAATTTGAAATTGGAACGCCTTCGGAAAGTTTCACGTAAGATGTTCAATAAGGCGAAAATCACTTCTGATTGGACTCAAGATAAGAAAACCCTGTCTGAATATAATAATGAAATACGGAAATTTAAGAGGCGATCTTGGATTCAAATGTGTGAAAATATAAACAGTACTCCTATAGTCGCGAGATTATAGAAAACTCTTGCAAAAAACCATACGATTGAACTTGGTAATCTTAAATGTAATGATGGAGGTTTTACCAAATCTCCCTCTGAAACTTTAAATTTAATGATCGAAACACATTTTCCAGGTTCGCTATTGTATGTGAAATCAGATATTTCTGATTCTGTTGGTGAAATATGTTCTATAGAGACCTCGCCAGTGTTTCAGAGAACAGAAAACACCATACCAGATATAGCTGATGAAATTTCACAATTGCCGGAGTGGAGAATGCTGTGAGATCTTTTCAGAAGCAATGCTGATTTCGTCTCTAACTAAGATTTATAAGACGAGTTTAAGATTAAACTACCCGCATAAACAATAACCATAAGAACCTAACCACCAATTCGGGATATCATCCCAACTTTATGTGGGATAGTCGTACCATCTATGAAATCGTTAGAGTATGGTACCCGTTTATTAGGGTACATTCCATCAAAATGGAGATTGGTAAGAGTTTTATTCATAGTGAAAAACGGGAGGCGTGATAAAACGCAGCCAAAAGCATTTAGGCCTAATTAGTCTCTCATCAATTTTACTGAAGATTATGGAAAAGGTGTTGAATGCCTTCATCAATTCAACTTACATGTTAACGCATCCAATGTTTAATTTTCAGTTTGCGTATCAATCTGGAAAATCAACAGTTACTGCCCTCCATACTTTGGTAACTAAAATCGAAAAATCACTTTCAGTTAAAGAAATCGCACTTTGTTCTTTCTTGGATATTGAAGGAGCTTTTGACCACGCATCCTATTCTTCTATGGTAGACGCCATGAAGAAAAGGAACTTCGACACGCACATCGTCAACTGGATTCATACTCTTGAAAAAAGAAAAGTCACTTCTGGGCTGGGAAGCTCATCTATAACAGTAAAGGCAACGAAAGGCTGTCCTCAAGGAGGAGTCCTCTCACCACTAATGTGGTCTTTAGTTGTAGATGATCTTCTAAGAAGCCTAGAGGCGAATGGTTTCGAAGTTGTGGGCTTTGCGGATGATATAGTCATCGTAGTTAGAGGAAAGTTTGACGTTATCATTTCAGAAAGAATGTAACAAGCTCTAAAGTTTACCAAATCTTGGTGTATTAAGGGGGGCCTAAACATTATTCCGTCAAAAGTTCCTGTTACTAGAAAGAGGCAGTTCAACCTTAAGGAGTTCAAGCATGGAGGAGAACAGATTCATCTTAGTGAACAGGTCAAATACCTAGGAGTTATATTGGATGCCAAGTTGAATTGGAATGCTCAGATTGATTCTGTGATCAACAAAGCAACTAGTGCCCTGTGGTTATGCTCCAAAACTGTTGATAGAAAATGGGGTTTGAAACGAACAATGACAATGTGGATTTCTTTTCCGTCCAAAAGTAACTTATGCTTCGTTAGTGTGGTGGCCAAAAACGAAAGTGGCTACCGCACCGAGGAAGCTGGCAAAACTACAACGTCTAGCATGCATTGCTATAACGGGTGCGATGCGCAGCACCCCATCAAAAGCGTTAGATGCAATTCTCAATCTACTGCCCTTGCATGAATACGTGCAACTAGAAGCGGAAAGAAGTGCTTTAAGGCTCAAAAGGTCTAAAAAAAGTCATACCTGGTGACCTGGTTGATCACCTAAGCATTTTACAATACTTCCAAAGAGGGCCAGTGATGAGTATGAATGGAGACTGGATGAAACCAGAGGACAATTATGACACTCCCTTCAACGTATGTGAAATGTTGCGGTCGGATATGGAAGTCTGTATTTTTTCTGACAGTTAAGCAGCACTAAAAGCGCTTCGTGTTTACAAATGTACATCAAAGATTGTCTGGGAATGTATTCTCTTGTTGCGACAGCTGTGCAACCAGAACTCTGTAAACTTATATTGGGTTCCTGGACACTGTGGCATTTAAGGGAATACGATCTCGCAAAATTAGGTTCCAATTCACCGTTCATTGGCCCAGAACCATACTGTGGAATATCAAACTGTACGGTAAAAATGGAACTCAAACGCTGGGAAGAACAAAGGGTGATGGCCAACTGGATGGCCGTCACGAAGTGCAACCAGTCGAAAAGATTTATAACTCCAAATGTAACACATACCAAAAAGCTCTTGGAGCTCAATAAACGGGCTCTTAGTATATACACTGGCCTAGTAACTGGGCACTCTCCGAGTAGATATCATTTGAAGAACATTGGTCGGGTTCAGAGCGATATTTGCCGTTTCTGTAGCATAGAACGTGAAACCTCGGAATATCTGCTCTGCAGTCTAAATTTCAATATTCACTTAATTTATCGCGAACTATGGTTTTGATTATAGTTTACTTTAAGCTTAGGGTGGCCATCTTACTCCGTCGTGCCCTACTACCAGTTTTACATGTAAGAGCGTAGTTGCTGAGAGGATAAAAAAAACAACAGAACTAGCAACTGTGGACATGGAAAATTAACAAAATTTCACCTAAATCTATTTCGGTGCAGCCAATTGTTAAGTTTCAATTTACATCTAAATTGGAGTTACAATTAGGGC